TCACATTTTTAATCAGTTGTATTTTTTCCCCTCCTGAACTGTAAAATCTGCTATTGTGATTTGCCGGGTCCCTGTTAAGGAGGCTCTGGTTAGTCTAGCAGTGTTATTAAACAGTTCTGATTTCCAGTCTGCAATTAATAAAAATATAATTAAATACATGAAGGCAAAGCAGAAGATAATTTAATCTTTCTGCTATGATTCAGAAGCCATATTAGGGTCATCATTATAAACCTCAATTACAGTGTTGCGGAAGTGTAGGGAGATTGATGAGTGGCATTCAGGGCAAAAGAGTGTCAGATAGACCAGCTTTTCCTCCACGTTTTATAACATCAGATACCACATTCATTGATTTCTCCAATATACTGATCCTAGTATAAGCTCTTGTAGAATCCACTATAGTTAATTTCAGCTGACTAAATCCATTCTTCTAGCCTACAATAAAAAAACCAAGGTGGTTTCATTTTCATGGGGTTATCCTCTCTAAAAACATCTACCTAAATAAAGACCCAATAGTATTTTAAATTCTTTTTCAGAATATATTTGGTTGTATTCCTCTTGGTAAAACCTGTTGCAGTTTCTATTTATTTTCTTTCCATACTATACTTCATTGTTTAGCAAAATATACTGATCATCGCCTTCCTGCACAATCAGATTATTAGAGGGTCTTTTAAGGGGTTCTTGATGATTTGGTAACTAAATTTTTTTTAAGAAGAAATTATCATTAAAGTTAAAATTTCTACATATCTGAGTATGTTGGATGTTTCTAAAAAGCCCCTTTGTGTTGGTTAAATAAATCACAGTACTTATAGATCTTTGCAGTATTTCAGTATGTATATAAAATTTTCATTAGGAAGGGGAAAGAATACTGTATTTACTTGCTTTCTGCACACACATATACCAAAGGGACTTTTTTCTTTTTCCTTCCAAACTTATCACTAATAGTGACTAAATAAAGGCTTGTAAGATAGGCTGAATAACTTTAAATGATCCCATTTGTACAAATTTTAGCATATGACTAGGCTTCAAGATAGCCTTGATGTCACAAAATTCCTGCCGTAACCCCAGCTGTCATATCCACATCCCAGGCAAGAACCGGGCTTCAGTCAGCCCTGCCAGTACCCTACCCCCAGACACACAAATAAGTTTTCCTGGAAGCCCTATACGACATCCTCCGTACACATACCATTGGCCTATAATTAGTTACATCTGCAAGGAAGGTTGTGAAATGAAATTTTTCACTGGACACAAAATCAGGGTTTTGTTACTAAGAAAGAGGGGAGAAAGGGAATGGGATAGGCAGCTAGCATTATCTGCCTCATTTTCTCTTTTCGGATATGTTTCCTTAGATGAACTGTGAGCTCATAGAAGGCTAAAATTATGTCAAATTGATTTTTGTTGTCCTGGAACCTAGCACAATACCATAGCTCATTATGTTGTGTGTCTCTGTGTGTGTGTTTATTAAATACAGAAGAAATGGAAATTTTAGCTAGTTATAGTTTAGAATGAAGATCAAGGAAAATTATAACAGGGGAGCAGGGGGCATTAGTTTATTCCATTTATATTGTCATTCACTTGTTTAACTGCTATTTCAACTAACAGTGGGGTTCCCAGTCTGAGCCAGGCCCTGGGCCAGGCTTGGGGGATACGGGGGGATAAGCACAGCACGGTTCCTGGTTTCAAGAAGAGGGTAGGGGTGAGGTTGGGAGAGGAGAGCGAGGGCTCCCCACGTGAAGGAGCAGGTTCAGGGCAATGTCACTAGAGAACTGAGAAGTGGTCCTGAACCACTGTTGGAGAGGTTAGGGAGCTCGAAGTCGTGCGGGTGAAACAGAGAGTGGGGAAGGAAGGCGGGGGAAAGAATGATAGGTAGGGCTGCGTAAAAAAGAAACTGGGATTATATGGAGAAGTCCAAAATTTATTCCTCCCAGCACACATACCTATTTGCTGTGACAAAAATGTGTGTCTCTCCCTTGGACCTCCTCAGGAAAGGATTTCCCACCACTTTGCCCTGCATGGACCCGGCCCATTGATGAGCTTCTAACCGACCTACACTGCAGTCACAACTGTGTGCCGTGGACCGTGCGTACGCACTGGGCAACAGTCTTCCCAGCAGTCCATCTTCCAGGGTGATGTTCCTGGCGGGATGCTGGTCTAGACATTTATACCTCAAATTTGACAATATGACTTGCCAGGGATTTCCAGAGAAAGGGATTTATACCCGGGAGCTGCAGATGTGAACCTGGGATTCTTAGTGTGTTAATGCCTTGGGTTTCAGTTTCGTAAGTCATTGGAGGGACCCATGATTTAGTTGAACTAGAGTCACCATTACAGTAAATCCCTTTGACAATTTGACTAGAAATAGAGACACTGGCCTCTCTTCCTGTATAAAATTCAATTCACTTCATAGCATATAGGGCTAGACAGTTATCCACCCCAATTCCTATTATTTTTGCCTATATAGATTAAGAGATGGTCCCCTAACCATGAAGCAGAAAGCACAAAGAGAGAGAGATTTAAAGATGTCGTGTCATTGGCTTTGAAGACAGGGGGAAGAAGCCACAAGCCAAGAAATGCAGATGGCATCTAGATGCTGGAAAAGCTAAGGAAATAGATTTTCCCCTAAGGCCTCCAGATAGAACAAAGCCTATACTTTGATTTTAGGATTTCTGACCTCTGGAACTGTAAGATAATACATTCTTGATTTTTGCCACTGAGTTCATAGTAACTTGTTTATAGCTAGCAACAGAAAACTAATTCTACATAATTATATATCTCTAGGTGCTATCCCTCCTGTCCCTGTTCATTCCCACTGCTTCCTACATAAGTCTCTCTCCCTTGGTATTCTCCTCTTTTCTGAACCCTTTCAGATTGTTTTCTTGAAATTCAAATCTGATTACGTCATAGGGCTTGAAGTGCATGAACACTCACTGATTTCTAGGTAGGTTACTTTCTGGGAATATAATTAGAAACCAGAAATAGGGGTTGTTTACAACTCCTGTCAAGGATATTTGTTGTGATCTAAGGAAGGCTTAACAGGGATGTGATTATAGCTAAGAAAGCTTAAAACAAATTGCACTATACACTGAAGAAAGAATGCGTTAACCACGTCGGACTGAGGTAGGAAACAGATTTATCTGGATTTATCCAGGATTGGACAGGGGTAAATTTACTGACTTCAACAGTCATCAGCAAGGCACACTCTGGTTTATAGGCGGGGCTACCTCACCAGGTACGTATACACTAGTAAGTGCTTCTCCTAAAAAGTGATACTGGTTATTCAATCATAGTAAATTTCATCCTGATTTACATGCTAGTCACATGAAAGTTGGATGTCTTGAGTCGGGCAACTTGTTCATCCCTGGATGCATGATGAAACTGATGTCAGTACCCTACGGGGGACCAACAGAAATTATATCAAGGCTCTTCTACGTGGTATGATCCAGAATCCTGGTTTAGCAACAGCCACACTGCTGCCTGGTATAACAGACCACCACAAAAGAGGGATGACTTCACAACAACAACAACAAAGAAGGGGGAGGAAAGTTCTAAGAAGGAAGGAGAGAGAAGTCAACATTTGCAAATGCCACCAAGTAAGATGGGGATTAAGATTTTCCATTAGATTTGGCAATTTAGGTGGTGACTGTTCAGCTGAGCGAAAGGTTGAGAAGGGAATGAGAGCTTAGGATATGGAAACGTTAAGTTTGGAAAACTCTGAGAAAAGGATCCTTGCTCTACAGAGTGATCTTTAAATGAAGTTCCCTTGGTTTTTATGTTGGAATCAAAGAGAGATCTTCTTCTTCCTAAATCCTTCAAATGTTGCTTAGCCAAACTTGAGTCTTACCATTTCTTTCTCCTCAGTTAACCTCCGAGGTAGAGGAACTAATGAGCTGTGCAGTAACTAAAGGTCAAAAAACAAGAAACAAAAGGCCTACAAACCCCAAACTCAACACAAACAAAACAAATTGGGCCCTGAGTAAGATGAGCTGTAGCAAGTTGTGCTTCAAATTTAATATCCTCGTTTTGATGATTAATAAAAAAGTATCTGGAGAATTAAAAGGGGCATTTTTATCATTGGAATGCCTTCTTGCATCTCATCCATTATTTTCACCCCCGCCTTCCCGCAAATTAATTGCTGTTGCAGAATTGTGGGCATATGTGAGCACAAGCTGGACCAAAGTCTGAATTTTGTCCAGTGACTAGAGTAATTCTGTGTCCCTCCCCCGCAAAAAAAGGTGTAATAGTGAAAACAACATACATATCTGCATTTCTAGATGAAAGCACTGTTTCTTTCCTTCCTTAACTATTTGCTATATTTAAAGGGAACTAAGGGGAGGGAGGGTCCCGAATGTGAGCCCAGCTTTTTCTAAACTTGGTTACTAATGTCTGATTCATTCCCTGTTTTTTGTAATTTCTGTCATTGCCTGCTTCTGAGAAGGGGGTCGCTGAATCACTGCCACTCCAGACGATAGCAATTCAAACCCAGTCCTGGAGGTTGGAAGGGCTTTTTTTGTGTTTTTGGTTGCTTCTGCTGGGAAAGCCTCCTACTTTCCGGGGTGACCATAGAGGGCAGTTTTATGAGAGTCACCCCGGGCTATGGAAGATTTTGCTCTCGTGAGAGTCAGTGAGGCACTGGTCATCTCACCATTTTGGCTCTCTGGCGCCCAGGCCTCGGTGGCCTGGGAGTGCGTGGCGGGCGAAGAGGCTGCAGGGGCCGGAGCGAGCGTAGCCCGATGGGCCCGAGAGGCCCTGCCGTACTCCCCGCCGTTTTAAAAGCTCCCACAATGCAGCGCTGGCGTCCCAGTTCCGTTACAATGTCTCTCCCGGCGCCGGCGAACCGGCTAAGCGCGGGCGGGGGAGACGGGGAGCCGCGGTTGTAACCCGAGCGCCTGGCCGAGGGGGGCGCCCCCGCACCGCTCCTCTCGCGCGCTCAGACCGCGGCACGGCGAGGGGCGGAGCCGCTGGCCGCCCGGCCCGGCCCCCGGCCCGGCCCCCAGCCCAGAGACACCGGCCGCGAGAGCGAGCCGGCCGCCAGCTCGGCTGCCTGTGCTCGCCGGTGCCCCGCACCGAGACCGCCTCCCGGCTCTTGACCCGACCTCGCCCGCCCGCAGAAGCGGCGGCGGTGCTGGGGGCGGCTCCCGCCGACTGCAGCGCCGCCGCTGCCCGCGCGCTCGCACACTCCCGCAGCCCCGCCAGGGGCGTCCTCACTCACCTAGCGCCGGCCCGGGAGGTGTGCGGAGAGGACAAGCCGGGGCCTCCCTCCAGTGCGGAGCGCGATCCGCGGGGCGCCGCGGAAGGAGGCGCGCGGGGCTGCGCGGCCGGGGACCGGCGCTGGGTGGCCCCAGGGCTTCGGACGCCGCCGTGTCCCCAGCGCCCCGGCCAGTCCTGCCGGGCGGCCTGCGGGGGCGGCGCAGTTGCGAAACTGAGTGAGTATTAACTTTACTCGGCGGCCGCGGTTTCTGGGCAGCGTTTGGGACCCCTCCTTCCTCCTGCTGGAACCTCGGAGTCCCAGATCCCCACTCTGCACCTGGGGCTTCTTCGCCCATTCTGCCCCCACCCCACTTCCTCCCGTTCACCTTTTCCCTGCTGTGTTCCCGTTTGCGCGTTCTCTCCGCCGCACACTCGCGTATGCCTGAAAAGTACGAGCTTGTTCCTCGCTTCTCCGTTTCCTCCCAGTGTCCTTGGCAAGGGAGTTTAGAGGCCACTTTTGTTGGGAAGGGAAATGTGTGTCTGGTTTCTCTAATATTTTTTTCCTCCAAATGGAAATCGGATGCTCGATTGCCGGGTGGCGGTTTGACGAAATGCTTATTTTCTCCTCTGAAACAATGATTGGTTTATAGGTTTTTAAATTTTGTCTGAACGGTGAACCCTACTCCGTCCCTATTCCCCTTGGCTGCCAACCCGTATAGGGAAGGGAGTCCAGAAGAGGAGACTTTCAAAGTAGTCCTTCTTGCACACAGAAACTTTGAGAGGGTAAATCGTAGGAAACTTGAGATTTCACTTGAAGGGACGTGAGCTTTGAATGTGGGTCCTTGTGCGGCACTGAGTCTTACAAGCCGAGCACCTGGTTTATAACTGAGTGTCGCGTTGTTATTTTAGCATCATAGAGCCGCCTGGTGTTGCTAAACCACTACTTTCTCAGCATCAAATGGCATCTTGAACAGTGCAAGCATCAGACATAATTGCGGGTCAGTATTGCCCCTGATCTTTTAGGGATTTAGAAGGGAAATAGATATGCACGGCACGGTTCAAAGCTGATTGAAACCCATCAGGTTAGCCCTGTCAGTACATCAAAGCATTGCATTTAAAACAATTACTCCAGCCTGGTGATGGTGAGGACCAGCATTTATGGATTTTTCCAGTATGATGTGGCTCAGCAGTTCTTCATTAGATCTGTTGTGTCCCCACAAAGTGCCTTTTGATATGTATAGATGTGTTTTTCTGTCAGTTGCATTAAGTAGTCATTTTGGTAGACCTCAGGTAGTTTGTTTTTTGGTTTTTCCCCCCCTTTTTCTTTTTTAAAGTCTGTCATCTTTCGGTTGTCAGGAGTTAGCAATCAGGTTATGAAGGAACAGAAAATGGGAAGCTTTCTTAATGGATTTTCAGCATCCTGTCCTTTGCGTGGTTGAGACAGTAGTGAATGCCAGCTAGCCCTCTGCAGGGAGAGGTGGACACAAGAGATCAGGACACAGGACACAGCATTATCATTTTGGAGAGTGGTTTGTGGGTCTTCATCTTGTAGCGGACACATTAATGGTATTTTTAATTTTACGTATCTCCATGGAGAACTCTCCCCAAGCCATAAAAATTACATGTGACCATACGCCACATTAAGAAGACTGAACATAATTTGATGATTATTCTATTGAAGTATCAGACCCAACAAAATGTAATTTGTAATGTAGATGACAAAACCTTTCAAAAATCGCCCCCCTGCATCATTTTCTCTTTTTTTAAGAGTCTTGAGCTGGTACTTTCAATATAGACAAAATTGGCAGTAATGCATTGAGTTTTTTCCTTCTAGGCTCATTAATCAAGCCTGATTTCTGGGTTTCAGTAACTCAGGGGAACATCAGAGAGCTGAGAGAGAGAAAGGGAGGGGAAGAGAGAGAGAGCAAACCATGGGACTGTGCAGATAGGAAAGGCATTTCAGTTTGCCAGAGTGTCAACATGCTTCAGGGAATAGCAATTGAAAAGGAGAGAGAGAATGTTTAAGTGTTTTTAGGGTGAATGTTTACTGAATTTGACATTTGGTTGAGATATCTGGGAATTGCAGATTTTAAATTCTTTGTGGTTGTGGTGTCATTTCTTTTTGCCTAATATTTCTTTAAGGTTTTGATTTTTTTTTTTAAAATATGAATCTCAATCCTTGGCTTTTGTAGACTTCTGGCCTGGGTGGCTTGCATTTTTGACTTGAATGCCTTGTTCATTTTGAGGATTGATTAGTTTTTCAGAGTTCTTGCTTACTAATTGATCTGCATTTTTGACTCAGATGTCTTGTTCATTTTGAGAAATGATTAGTTTTTCAGAATTCTTGCTCATTAATTGGTCTGTCTTATGTTGATGTATGTAATGACCTGAGAGTAAAAATATGATTTGCTGCTGGATATTGCTGCTCTTTTCATTATGGTTGATTCCTGGCACAATGGCTTTGCTATTTATGGTAAAACATTAAGGTTCTAGATATCTTGTTAGTGTTCAAAAGATTGCAGAACTCTTTGCAGGTATAGATGAGAGTGAGAAAGGAAAACATGCATTAAATCTGAGGGTTTGGATTTAAGAAATAACGTATTACCTGTTAATTCTTGTTGAGTTGCTAGCTTGCTCCAATCATGGCCTTCAAAATTCAAAGTGTAGAGAGAGTTTCCAAGAATTCTGTATAGTGGAAAGAATGCTTACCCCGCAGCCAGCGAACCAGACTTGGGTGGCAGGTGTGACTTTGTCATTCCACGCAGAATGAGCTTGGCCATGCTACTTTAACCTCTGTGATCTATAGTTTGCTTCCTGTGAAATAGGGACACTGCTACTAAAAGGGATGCTGGGACAAGCAGGACACCTACTGTAGTTCCTGGCTCCTCTTAGGCAATGAATGGCAGCATCTCAGACTTCTCCAGAACTGAGACCTAGATTATTGAACCTCAGATTGTTTCTGCTCTTTTTCATTTCATCCATCCAGAGCGGCTCAGGCCAGAAGGCTCGAATTATCCTTTCCTCTCTTGTTCTGTCACCCCCACCCGACCCGTTTGACACAAAGTCCTATCCACTTTTTGGCAAAATCTCTCTCGAACCTGTCTGACTTTTCAGTCCCCATTATGCTACCATTTTAGTGCAAGCCACCCCTCTCTTTCCCCATTGCACACACTCCACACCCATTCCGATCGCTTTCCCATGCATCCCGAGAAAGAAGAAGACGTCACTTGGCTGTTTAAAGGCGTCACAGCTCTTAGGAAACACAGTTGTACTTGGGATGAAATATGAAATCCTTCACGAGCCCACAAGGCCCTCTGTGGTTTGGCCCGTGCTTGCCATCTTCATCTCATCGGTCACACTGGCAGTTACCCGGTGGACCCACCTGAGGGCTGTTGCTCATGCTGTTGGTTTTTCTTATTTTATGACCATCTCATTGAGTAAGTTCTTGTCCTGGGTGCTGGTTCACATATCCCTTTATAAAGTTTTCTCTGGGAAGGCCATCCTTAGCATCATGTGACTTAAAACTCCTTTATTTTCTTCCTCATAGCACAGTCACATTTCCCTTAATATTTTCCACAATTTATAATTATATTATTGAATTGTTTAATGTTTCTCTCTTGCCCTTGAGGGCAGGAATGCTGCCTGGTTTATTCACTAGTCAATACCCACTGCCTGGGGGGTGGGGTGGGGGTGGTGTATGCAGTGGGTGCTCAATAAGTAGTTATTGTTATAATGAATAAGATAGTAATATCAGTTTTATATTTTGTTTAGATTTCCTTCTCATCACTGTTAAATCTGCTTTTCATAACAGAAAATCCAGACTGGCACTCTCCTGTGTTCCTTTTTTGCTGGTTTTATGTGTGATATGAAACAGCCTTTGCAGCTATCTGGTAAAATTAATGCTTTTAGGCTCTGTGAAAAAATTTACAGTAAGAAATTGAGACACCTTTTAATTAGTGTTACCCTTGTGATTTTTCTGTTGTCGATAATCCTTTTTTCTAAGTACATCATTAAAATGATTATGCTTTTTTCATCAGCACGGGATTACTGAAAGTAAAAAATCCTACCATGTCATTGTTTTACACATGTCATGTGATAACATGTTAGTCAGCAGCTATTGATCGCTCACTGCTAGATTTCAAAGGAAGGTCGGGAAAACTGTAGTAGAAAAATGAGAGTCACAGCTTTAAGGATTTTAGTACTGTCCAGCTGTTGATGTGACTTGCATAAATAGCTAGGTTTCATTTGACCACTTAATTAAAGTGGAGGAGTACTGTAGTTGTTTAAAAATGGGAGCCACCTAGAGGTCTGGAAGTTCTTTTTCCCTGTCTCACTAAAGCATTTCTTGCTTTAGCCAAAAAAGTCTCATGACTTCTGAAAGCCAAGGAAGGTTTAAAGCTTTGCTTGAGTATTTTTGTCATGTGGTTGCTCTTTACACAATATTAGTTTGATGTCCTTACAACTCAGAAATACTTATTTTATTATTATTAATGTTTCTAGTCTCTATTTCTTACATAATCACCAACATTTTCCTTTGACTAGTTTTTAGGACTTTAGTTTCCTTTTAGAATTTTTCCATATACCCCTAGAGGATAATTAGTTCTTTTCTAGTTCTGTACCTTGTAGGCCACTAAGCATACAGGGAACTTGGCAGTTGATTCTAGTTCTTTTAGGATTTCTTTCTTTGTACTCAACCTTTAGATTTCCCCAAAAAGTTATACCTCTGAGTGGTCTGTAGTCTGAGGTTTTGCCAGCCAGAAGCTGGATGCCTTTGGGTTGGGAGAACAGGGAGGATTAAAGCAGCATTTTTAAACTCTATTCTGTGCCATGCTCTGGGCAGAGTGCTCTCACAAAAGAGGAGTGAATACTTCACCTGGTCAAAATCATAAAATGGAAGCCTAAGTGTTTTGTACATTCACTCAAGGAAGTTGTTCCTGTTATACCATCATTTTCCTACCCTTTGTTTTCTGGACAGGAAGGTGTGACAAGATTGAGATGTCCTCTCTAGCCGGACCCTTTACCTTGCCTTGGTGCTTATTTAATCCTGGTTTTACTTGTATAAAATGAATGGGAGTGGGGCCGGGAGGGGCACGCCGTGCGCTCTGCCTTTCAGGTAGGCCTGCGTGCCCCTAGGACGTTTGCATCATGAGCAGCCACCGCTGTGGAGGAGAAACAAGGTAGGGTTGGAGCCCTTGTTATTTTTTTCTTCATGTTCATATGCTTAGTGGTTACTTTG